CCTAGTTTTCAAGTTGGTCCAAATTGGGGTCCAAAATTAAACTTTGTTTGATTTCAACAAAAATTGAATATATGGGGTTCTTCGATATACTGAATCTTACCATGTTTTTAGATTTTTTATTTGTGGGCCCGCTATCAGATTGGTTCATATTGAGGTCAAAAGGGTCCAAAATTAAACTTTGTTTGATTTCATCAAAAAATGAATTATTGGGGTTCTTTGATATGCCAAATCTAACCGTGTTTTTAGATTTTTAATTTTGGGTCCCGTTTTTTTTAATTGGTCTACATTAAGGTCCAAAGGGTCCAAAATTAAACTTAGTTTGATTTTAACAAAAATTGAATTCTTGGGGTACTTTGATATGCTGAATCTTAACATGTGTTTAGATTTTTGATTATGGGACCAGTTTTCAAGTTTGTCCAAGTTGGGGTCCAAAATTAAACTTTGTTTGATTTTAACAAAAATTGAATATATGGGGTTCTTTGATATGCTGAATCTAACCATGTATTTTGATTTTGGACATTGGACCATAATAGGTAAATTAAAAAAAATTGAAGTTCTTAGACCTCATTCTTTGTGTGTCAGAAACCTATGCTGTGTCAAATATTTAATCACAATCCAAATTCAGAGCTGTATCAAGCTTGAATGTTGTGTCCATACTTGCCCTAACTGTTCAGGGTTCGACCTCTGCGGTCGTATCAAGCTGCGCCCAGCGAAGCATTTTATTAATTATATTTGTAATTATTTACATCTGATAAACCTTTTTCAATCTCTTCTATATGTGTTCCATTTTCAGGTTCTTTCCAATCGACCCGAGACTGGGTTTTCAGTTATAGCGTCTAATATTTTTTTTATAAAATTTTATTCTAAATTCACAATGAATTTTCCTAACACTAATGTTGCAATTCCTTCCGGCAAGGTTGACTTTAAATTATAGACAGTTTTGGTCCATTTGTTTGATGATTACTATTATTATACTTCATGTCAAAATTACTATTATTATGCTTCATGTCAAAATGCCAGATTTTGATTGGTAAATACGAGGGAGACAATGTACTCTATCCCATGGCAAATACTCTATTACCCTTCACGGAGACGCTTGCTCAAGTGTGCGCTTTAATAAATACGGATGATTGTTATGTACAAGACGACATAGTTTATTACTTTGAATTTGAAATTTAATAGACAGTAATAACAGAACATTCACTTTAATAAATTAAATAACACATGTCTGAGAGTGATAGAGCAGATTGTTACCCCTCGAAAAGACATTGTCAACCTTGGCTTCGCCTCAGTTGACCATGTTTTCTCGGGGTCACAATCTGCTCTATCACCCTCTCAGCTAGCCTATGTGTTATTTATATAATGTTTTATGATCTCTTCGGCTAACATATAATACGTTCATCGGCTGTGCCTTTTTTATGTGCTGATTTAGGTTGTTTTACGTATTCGTTTTTATTCTGTAGTTAGTCACCACTTCGGTGTTAACATGTATATCTATTATATAGTCATTTTATAAATTTACTGTTTGCAAAAGTATGAATTATTCTAAATACTAAGGATTTTCTTATCCCAGGCATATAACCTTAGCCGTATTTGGAACAACTTTTTGGAACTTTTGGTCCTCAATGCTCTTCAACTTTGTACTTGTTTTGGCTTTCGAACTTTTTTTATCTGAGCGTCACTGATGGGTCTTATGTAGACGAAACGAGTGTCTGGCGTATTAAATTATAAGCCTGGTACCTTTTGATAGCTATTATTTGTGTATGTCTCTGTCCTGTATGTTCTCCCATTTATTTGTATTGTAGTCCTGTCATGTAGTCTTGTCATTTTAATGTTATATTTAACATTGCCATAAAAGCGGGATGTTTGGCTAGCCACAAAACCAGGTTCAACCGACCATTGTTTCTTAAAATGTCCTGTACCAAGTCAGGAAAATGGACATTGTTATATTAAAGTTCGTTTCTGTGTGTGTTGCATTTTAGTGTTGTGTTTCTGTTGTGTCGTTGTTCTCCTCTTATATTTGATGTGTTTCCCTCAGCTTTAGTTTGTAACCCGGATTTGTTTTTTTCTCAATCGATTTATGAATTTCGAATAGCGGTATACTACTGTTGCCTTTATTTATGAATTTCACTTATACAAAAATGAATCTTGAAAGTATCCAGAAACACGTGTTGTTGGCATCATTGGTATTTGGGTAGAGGACATTTTTTCTTTGCCCTCCCCCTTTTTCCCCATAATCCGTTATTATACGACCGCAAAAAAATTTTGCGGTCGTATATTGGTATGACGTTGGCGTCGTCGTCGTCGTCGTCGTCCGAAGACACATTGATTTTCGCACTCTAACTTTAGATTAAGTGAATGGATCTCTATGAAATTTTACCATAAGGTTCAATACCACAAAAGAAAGGTTGGGATTGATTTTGGGGGTTATGGTACCAACAGTTAAGGAATTAGGGGCCAAAAAGGGGCAAAAAATAAGCATTTTTGTAACTTCCAGACATAACTTGTGTGCTAGTGTATGGATCTCTCTGACATTGTACCAAAAGATTCCATATCACAAAGGGAATGCTGGGATTGATTTTGGGGATAATTGCCTCAAAACGTTTAGGAATAAGGGGTCAAAAAGGGGGCCAAAAATAAGCATTTTTCTAGTTTCCAGACAATAACTTGTGTTCAAGTGTATGGATCTCTCTGAAATTGTACTGCAAGGTACCATACTACAAAGGGAAGGCTGGGATTGATTTTGGGGGTAATTGCCTCAAAATTTTAGGAATTAGGGGCCAAAAAGGGGCAAAAAACAAGCATTTTTCTAGTTTCAGGACAATAACTTGTGTGTAAGTGTATGGATTTTTATGAAATTGTACTACAAGGTTCCATATCACAAAGGGAAAGCTGGGTTTGAGTTTGGGGGTAATTGCCCTAAACGTTTAGGAATTTGGGGCCATAAAGGGGCCTAAAACAAGCATTTTTCGAGTTTCCAGACAATAACTTGTGTTCAAGTGTATGGATCTCTCTGAAATTGTACTGCAAGGTACCATACCACAAAGGGAAGGCTGAGATTGAGTTTGGGGGTGATGAATCATAAGGGGGTTCAAAAAATTTGGGGGGGGGATTTAATCACAATCCAAATTCAGTGCTGTATCAAGCTTGAATGTTGTGTCCATACTTGCCCCAACTGTTCAGGGTTCGACCTCTGCGGTCGTATCAAGCTGCGCCCAGCGGAGCATTTGATTTTTTATCTTTTAATTTCAGTTATTTCCGCGTATTCTATGTTAGACTATAAAATATCTATGGTTAGACTTACATAGGTATACAAGAAGTAACATATCTTTACTATATAATTACTATCAATTGTTTGTTTATTATCCTCAGCGGTCACTGATATATATAATAGATTATAGATTACCTTAGTCGTATTTGGTACAACTTTTTGGAATTTTGGGTCCTCAATGCTCTTGAACTTGTTTGGCTTTATAACTATTTTGATCTCAGCGTCACTGATGAGTCTTATGTAGACGAAACGCGCGTCTGGCGTATTAAATTATAAACCTGGTACCTTTGATAACTATTTACACCACTGGGTCGATGCCACCACTGCTGGTGGGCGTTTCGTCCCCGAGGGTATCACCAACCCAGTAGTCAGCACTTTGGTGTTGACATGAATATCAATTATATGGTCATTTTAATAAATTTCCGGTTGACACTAATTTAAATTTTTCGAAAAACTAAGGATTTTCTTATCCCAGGAATAGATTACTTTAGCCGTATTTGGCACAACTTTTTGGAATTTTGGGTCCTCAATGCTCTTCAACTTTGTGCTTGTTTGGTTTTATAACTATTTTATCTGAGCGTCACTGATGAGCCTTATGTAGACGAAACGCGCGTCTGGCGTATTAAATTATAATCCTGGTACCTTTGATAACTATATATACAAATTTGGTGCCACGATATCTCAGTAGCAAGAGTTCGAATCCCGGCCAGGGAAGAACAAAACATTTGCTTCTGCAAATTTACAGATCTAGCATTGTTGGGCTGTTATTTCGACGAATTATGTATACATAATGTGTTTTTAGCCTTGTATCACCATCACTGGTGATCCGATGGCTAACATCTGTCTTGGGGTTGTCACTGGTTCAGACGTTCTTATATACATAGGTTTGAACGTTGTTTTCAATTTAGACTTGTTTATATTTTTTCGTTTGGACTTGTGTTATATTTGCCTTCGGATTTATATGATCCGTTCATCCTATTTCGACTCTTTAAAATTCAAGAGTCTATCCTAAATTGAGGTATATCATATGGCCTTCCAAATACCGTTTCGATACTTAACATCACTGAAGAGACATTAATTGTCGAAATCCGGATATGGTGTACTAATTTTTGCAACTTTTGATTGCGGTATACCATCTTTTCTGCAAGTTTATTGTTTTCTGTTTGGTATTAAATTAATAAATAAGATCCATTTTGTTACATCTGGTTATCCATTTATTTGGCAATCGCCAATGGCAGTCAGCAGGGTTTAAGAACATCATTTGTTCGACCTGCTATTCAAATGCGTTTTGTTAAAATATACTTTTTCACTTTTTTGGTCTTTTGGAAAATGTTGTTTGTGCTGTATTTAGACTCCTCTAACAAGAAATTTGTTTTGCATGCACACGTATAAAAATTGCGGTTTTTATCCAACGCAATCATAGGTTTGAACGTTGTTTTCAATTTAGAATAGTTTATATTTTTTCGTTTTGGCTTGTATTACATTTGCCTTCGGATTTATATGATCCGTTCATCCTATTTCGACTCTTTAAAATTCAAGAGTCTATCCTAAATTGAGGTAAATTATATGGCCTTCCAAATACCGTTCGATTCCTAACATCACTGAAGAGACATTAACTGTCGAAATCCGGATATGGTGTACTAATTTTTGCACCTTTTGTTTGCGGTATACCATCTTTTCCGCAAGTTAATTGTTTTCTGTTTGGTATTAAATTAATAAATAAGATCCATTTTGTTACATCTGGTTATCCGTTTATTTGGCAATCGCCAATGGCAGTCAGCAGGGTTTAAGAACATCAGTTGTTCGACCTGCTAGTCAAATGCGTTCTGTTAAAATATACTTTTTCACTTTTTTGGTCTTTTGGAAAATGTTGTTTGTGCTGTATTTAGACTCCTCTAACAAGAAATTTGTTTTGCATGCACACGTATAAAAATTGCGGTTTTTATCCAACGCAATCATAGGTTTGAACGTTGTTTTCAATTTAGACTTGTTTATATTTTTTCGTTTTGGCTTGTATTACATTTGCCTTCGGGTTTATATGATCCGTTCATCCTATTTCGACTCTTTAAAATTCAAGAGTCTATTCTAAATTGAGGTAAATTATATGGCCTTCCAAATACCGTTTCGATTCCTAACATCGCTGAAGAGACATTAATTGTCGAAATCCGGATATGGTGTACTAATTTTTTGCATCTTTTGTTTGCGGTTTACCATCTTTTCCGCAAGTTTATTGTTTTCTGTTTGGTATTAAATTAATAAATAAGATCCATTTTGTTACATCTGGTTATCCATTTATTTGGCAATCGCCAATGGCAGTCAGCAGGGTTTAAGAACATCAGTTGTTCGACCTGCTAGTCAAATGCGTTCTGTTAGAATGTACTTTTTCACTTTTTTGGTCTTTTGGAAAATGTTGTTTGTGCTGTATTTAGACCCCTCTACCAAGAAATTTGTTTTGCATGCACACGTATAAAAATTGCGGTTTTTATCCAACGCAATCATAGGTTTGAACGTTGTTTTCAATTTAGACTTGTTAATATATATATATGCTGTATTTAGACCCCTCTACCAAGAAATTTGTTTTACATGCACACATATAAAAATTGCGGTTTTTATCCAACGCAATTATAGGTTTGAACGTTGTTTTCAATTTAGACTTTTATATATATATATATATATTATCAATGACCACTGTTGATAGTAAAACGTGTGAAATGAATATTTAATACACAACATTTATGATAGTTAATCCATTATATTTCCACTAATTCAGAATTAGTGTTTGATATTTTATAGTTATTTTAATAAATGCGTTTTAATCATTGTTGAAAGCCGTACGATGACTTATAATTGCTAACATCTGAGAAATTTGGTCTCTGGTTGATAGTTGTCTCATTGACTATCATACCACATCGTCTCAATTCTATGTTACTTCGGTATTTGGATTTACTAACGTACAAAAATGTAATAAACATAACAAGTTATATACAGTAAGTAAATTTCACAAATGGATTGGGTAATTTTTCTTTCAAATAGTTCTCAAATCTTTCGTTGTCTGTTACAGTAAACCAATTCTTCCAGTCACCAACTGCACCTGAATTACAAAAAACGTAGAACTTTGATATTATACACCACATCAAAATAATATTTGAAGAATTTCAAACAATTTTAACATAATTCATAAATTCGAAATATTATTCTAAACCAAAATGTAGTTAATGAATCTGTAAGACATTTTATAGTACAAAGTTTAACGTTCGATCAAAGTGTATGTGATGTCCTTCTAATTGATGTATTGGATAAATGCTCAAAAGCTTCCAAAATCTTCCAAAACAGTTTTTATCTATTATTTAAGAATGCATAATTAGTGACATTTTCCTGAGACGACATAAAATTCTTAATATCTCGAAAGACACAGTCACACAAAGCTGTGAAAATGTAAAATTAAGTATTTGAAAACTCCAAAAAATGGTGTAGAAAATCCAGGTAATCTTGACAGAATATGGTGATCAGTTATAAAAAATATCGCTCCCACAGCTTTTTCTAGTTTTCTCAATTTCTTTCATTTGCTTGTGGTGAATAGTTCTTTTTTCAATTTATCAGTATAATGACAATTTGAAATTATCTGAAAATTGTTTGTCAACGAAATTTTGCATTCTATTCAAACTAACTGACTAATAGATAGCATTTAAACTAAATATTTCATCCATAATAATTCTTGTTGATATAAACATAAAATTTGTGAATGCACAAATGACGGCCGTATGACGGTGTGTCATGAAATTTTAATATATAAAATTCAAGTTGGCATCAACAGCGGAACATTAAGTGGCGTTCCGCCATTTAGCTGGACCATTTTTAGTAGCGCTTAAAAATCATAGCTGCTATCAAGTTTCACAACAACAAAAAAACAAACGGGATGGGTATTTAGTGGAGTGCATTAACATTTTGTTGATACTTATGAAATATTCAGGAAACAAAACCTGTTAATTAGGTTGATTTCTAATGGCACCAGTCAGATAAAAAGGTGCGCAATTCTTTTACTTCTGAAAACCCTTGTAAAAAGACTTTATATAGATTTCAAAGAATAAAAAACTTATTTCCAAACGGGACTAACAATAAAATAAATGTTCGTTATGAACTGTAAATGTTGTATCATAAACATTATAAATGATGACAGCTTGAGATCAAAGAAAAAAAACCAACAGTGCACACGCTGAAATGTATCACCTGCTTTACTTAGTGTTGAAAGTCTGTAAAATGAAGGTTTTACTACGCTTAACATTAATATTATCAATGATCCATGTAAATGAAGTCAAAGTCAGATGAACCCTGCCAGACAAAAATGTATCCTTTACAATCATACTATACAACAAATATAGTTAATCATTTCATACACCAAGTTCACTGGCCAAATTGCTTATGGTATCTGAGAAATAGATCAAACCACAAAAGTTAACATTGGCCATTAAAATGAGTTCAAGGTCATGTGACACTTGCCAGTCTGACATGTACACCTTACAATTATTCCATACACCAAATATAGCTAACCTATTGCTTATAGTATCTGACTTGACCACGAAATTCTAACCTGATCACTGATCCATGAAATGAGGTCGAGGTCAGGTGAACCATGTCTGACGGACATGTAGATCATGAAAGCATCTCGTATACCTAATATAGTTATCATAATCATAATAAGTCCAGTAATTCACTTGACAAAAAAATAGTTTACGCCGTCGCTGTCGCCGCCGTAATGTAATCCTTATGTCTCGCATTTAGCGAACTTCGTAGCAGGCAAGACAAAAACTGCTCCGAATGAGAAAAAATTCAACAATAATATGTATGTCAATAAATTTTTACCACTATTGCCCCTTTTAAAAAACAATTAGCACCAGAATAATAAAACCGATGCGAGTTTTTATATCTAATTGAAAAAAATAACATCGTGTTTAAATTTGATGAAGAACAAAATTATCACACAGTAATCCAAGTGTCCACATAAGATATAAAACGGTTTTTTTTTTTTTTAATTTTATCATTTTAAACAAACATACATCTATTCTGAAGAATCGTTCCATAATATGAACTATCGTACATAGATGTTTAATTCCCAAGATTTAGTGTCTAATTTGGTAGCTCTGTTTGTTAATCTGAATTTTTATAATTTTTTTATAAGTTTTCCAAACGTTTATTTTTCATTTATCTTTTGCAATATCTGTATTGCTACAATGCTAACATGCCAATAACAGATAAATCTTATTCATTTTCTGTGAATAAAAATGTAATTCTTGTTACAGAACTGTGTTTTCGCCTGTAACTCATATCACTTTCACGCACAACGAAAGGTGCATGTATGCACTATATTCCAAAGTACTACATCCTAATATGCTTACCTTTTCTAAAGATAAAATGAAGGTTGTTCCGTTTTTTATATGACTGTTTAAGTTCAGAAAAGGAACACTTTTCTAATACTTTACAGTAAAAATCTTCAGACTTTCGAACGTCCAAAAAGGTAGCTATTCGATCTATTTCTCTCATTGGGTCCTGTAATAATTAATCTGAATTAAATGCAAGGTCATACACGCTTAATGATTTATTCAACATAATATGAAATATACCTACATAAGGTAAGCGTTAAACTACACTCCATTAGATGAAAGAGATAGGGCTAATTTCCCCTGTATTAGTTTCAATCACAAGGTCAACATCTAAAAGTTGCCAAATCCTATTGAAAATTGAATATCAAAGAGTTTATATAATATCATTTAAAAATATTTTAAACGATTTTACATATTTCCTTAAAATAAAAAATGTTATAAACAGCTTCAGGTTGAAGCTGAAGGCATTTTGATAAAAATAAATTTTATATATTTTTTGTAAATTTGGCATTAAAGGCCGTCGCTAACCAAAATAAATTACTTTGTCAGAAAGACAATACATGTATTATATTGGCTTTGAACTAGCTGTCAGAAACTGCGAGTACTCTCAGATCTGTACTCTTGTTTTTGGGATGTATAAGTACCCGTCCATGTCCACTCTGTGTTTCTTTTAGATGTATTTCTATTTGTATCCATCTGATAAGGTAAGCCTTTTTCAACTGATTTTTATAGTTTGTTCTTATGCTGTACTGTTACACCACTGTCCCAGGTTAGAGGAGGGTTGAGCGCTCACAAACATGTTTAACCCCGCCACATTCTTTATGTGTCTGTCCCAAGTCAGGAGCCTGTAGTTCAGTGGTTGTCGTTGGTTCATGTCTGTCATATTTGTTTTTCGTAAATTGTTTTGTTATAAATTAGGCCGTTAGTTTTCTCAATTGAATTTTTTCATATTTTTCATGTCAGGGCCTTTTATAGCCGAACATACGGTATGGGTTTTGTCTCATTGTTGAACGCCGTACGTAAAATTGCTTACATCCACTTCATTTTTGGTGGATAGTTGGCTCATTGGCAATCATACCACATCTCCTTATTTTTATATGTATATTTTTTACTTCCAACCCATTCCAAGGGTTCAACTTGATTGGGTTATAGAAATATAGCATTACATATTAGCCCTTTGTCTTCTTCCAACAGGCACTAAACACTTTCCAAACTCTATTTAGCTGTTCGATGTAAAAACTGGGAGCCGAACCCTTGTAGCAACTCTTTGAAGGGTCCGTAGGTGGCATGTTGCAAGGCTAAATTTCTGTCCCTATCCAATATACCCTCATTTTCCAGTGGTATTCAAAAGTAAAATCACAAAAATACTGAACTCCAAGGAAAATTCAAAAAGGAAAGTCCCTAATCAATTGGCAAAATCAAAAGCTCAAAGTGTCCCACCCATCCTCCTGGTCGATCCTCGATTTCAGGACCTACCCATTGTATTTATTGTTACTTTGTTCTCGTCTTGCATGAAATATTGGCCACTTGGTGTTTCCTTAGCAAACACAAATCACTCAATCAATTTACTGTAAACATAATTTTGGCTTTGATTAAGGATCGATGTCCTCTTTATTCATTTTTGGAATAAATATCTTAAAATTTACGAAAATCTGTCTGTGGGGTTTTGGACTATCTTCAAGCGGTAAAAATGATTTGTTTAGAAACTGAACACACTATTTACAGAACCTCAAAGTGCACATATGAGCTATGCTTCTATGAATTTAAGTAAAGATTTATATTTTTTTCAAAGTGTACCTGGTGTTAAATTTATCCAGGGGAATTGACCTGTAATATGAGATAAGAAAAGAGAAACATCTTTATTCGCTATTTATATAAATACTAAAAATCAAATGTACTTACTTTGTGTAAATCTTCATAGTTGACATACAATACTTGAAGCTCTGGGTGTTGTTTGAATACTCTTTCCCAGTCCAGCATGTATTTGTACCATGCGCAGTGATAAACTGAAAAAAAATAAGTCAGTCCTTTCATATGTTCTTTTTGACCTCCATTACAGTGTAACCTTTATGTTATGTTTAATAAATATTTACGAGAATGATTTGATTTTTTTGCTTCTAGATTCGAAGCTACATCAATAAATACTATAAACACTCCATCTTGAATTTATTACATATATAACAAAAGTTAGTTCTGATTGGTTCCTTGATGATGTTGCTTAGATTTATTGGCTTTAATGAGTTATATAATTGGGAACAGGTGGTTAGGCCTTATATTATTATGCATTTCATTTGCTTAATCTGCAATTTATACACGATTCAGATTCGTGTTATTCACATCATTTCCTATGTATGATGTTTATAATAACATATCACCAGTAATTGTTCATAATACTAGTACTCTAAATGAGTTACAAATAGCTCAGTTCACTGATGCATTTAGTCAGTGTTGACCGATGTATATTTATTAGATATACTTGCATATGTTATAAACAATTTGGAAGTCTATCGTTGCATACGATTTTTGGTGGAACGTATGGGTCTAGAACGCACACTTACTGAGAAGTTCAACAAAACAACACGCAAGTAACGTCAACGATGTTTCTGTTAACCTCGAGACATAGTTAATTTAATTTTAACGCATCAATGTATGTGACCCCAAGGGTGACTGGGGTATAGAAGTATGGTCACCATTGGTCTTCCTCCGACCGGCAGTAAAACCCGTGCTAAAGTGGGGCGTCCGTTTGGCTGTGCGGGATGTACAAATTTGCAGCCACGTCCGGTCAGAATGGGGACGTTAAATCCGATGCCTCGTGTAAAGAGAGTGCCACGCTCTTTGCACGTTAAGAACCCTTGCAACAACTCTTTGAGGGGTCCGTAGGTGACCTGTTACAAGGCTAAATTGCTGTCCCTATCCAATATACCCTCATTTCCCGTGGCAGTCTAAATTTCTCCGACCTTAATCCCTTAATCTATTACAGATCCTACCTATTGTATTTATTGTGTACTTGTTCTCGTCCTGAATATGCATGAAATATTTGCCACTGGACGTTAAGCAACCAACAATCAATCAATCAATCAATGTATGTGTAATTCTCGCTGTGTACGTTAGCTGACGATGAAGTCAATAGTAGTACTTTAACCTGAAACAATTTATCTAAAATATTTCAGAATTAATAATATCGCGTGTCAGTTTTATAAAAGAATCCGAATATAACCTTCTAGGTCTGATGAACAAGTTATACTAAGACATATATGTTTCTGGATATATATTATCTTCCCTACTGTGTAATTTATTTTCCTTTCACAGTCTAGCCTAATTCGTGACCCTCAGAACGGATGACGCTCATCTTTGCTAATGAACCTGTTCCCTATTAGGTCTCACTTTATGTCATATTACTAATGATAATGTATCTGAAACCCAAATATAAGAGTACTAAATCCAAATATGATCAAATAAAACTAATAAATACTTATGAAATTTAAATGAACACTTCCTCTTCGCTACAAATAAAAAAAAACACAAAAACAAAAGCTGACGTGATGTGGAGCACTCATTATCCTTTTAATAGTTTAAACTTGTACATAACAACTTTCAATTTTGAGCTAGGTTCAGTTGTCATAGCAGCCATTATCATAATCATAATAGTTAGTCAGCTGGTCTCTTGACTGAGTTTTGTAACAAAAAGTGGACTTCGAAATATGCAAACCATTTTTGATTGGGTAGCAATATTATCAATTACACACACAAAAAATCAAACCGTTAATTGCGATAGGCGGAGCCTACGAGCGATGATAGTATCATTAAAACTAGTCTTAAAGGCTTTAGGTCAGCAACTCTCAATTGTACTTAGTTTAGGTATGCGCAACGAAAAACATAACAAGCTCACCTCTTTCCGACATGAAGAAATCTAAAAACTGACTAAATGTGCCTTTATAATCAATAGTATGTTGGCAATGATGGTAGAAAGATACTGCCACATCTTTTGGATTACGGTTTACAAATATAATCTTATTTTTCTTCTGCAGTATTTCTTGTGGTAAGTGTTTAAAATAACAATGGCTATTTATAAGTCTGGGTGACGGGAGCTCGTCAATTTTTTCTGGTGGTTTAAATGGAAGCATTGCTACTCCTTTGGATAGTTTTTGTTCTTTGCCGTCCTGCATCAACATGGTAGTAACTTCCCATGTCCAGTGCGTACCTGAAAAATAGCCGTGTCATATTTACTTTTTGAATACATCCCTGAAGTTAAACAGGCAAGTAGGACATTTTTGTTTTGTGAAAATTGGACTTGTACAAATGATTAATTTATGTTTTGAGTTTTATGTTTTTGAAATAAAAATAATTTTAGCAGGGTTAATTTTAGGGACAAATAAATAGTGTATTTATATAGTATACCAATGTTCAGCATTAAAAAATGAAAAAGAAAAAAAGCTGACAACAAATAAAGATAGCAAGAGAAAGAAAGGAGAACACCCGCAGGTACTCAGAGTAATATGATTTAAATGATGGTATAATCACTATATACTAAATTCATCGCTAGTGCCAATGGAAGGTCACGGAATTGTCAAAATGTGTGAAAAATACCTGTTTTGTATAGACATGTAAATGTGTATGATGTTGTAAATCATTTATTGCATGACTAGGAAATAAAAACTGAAAAGTTAATGTAGGCAGTTTTGAAAACAAATGACGCAAACTGTCAGGGAAGAATAAACCCGAAAATACATACGAATTAAACATGAATAACACAACGATACAACACACGACAACTGAAATGAACGTCAATATATCAATGATAATAGCTTACTAGCTATCGTCTTAGAACAGCAAGCAGTGAAACATAAGAATAAAAGACTTAACCATACTCGTTTATCACGAAATATACTTTTTTTTCAATTTCTGAAGAAGAAGAAAAGCGTTGACAAAATTGCTTAGTAATTATGCGTGAGCTTGTGTTTATATATAAACTAACAAGTTTACTACTGACCTGCTTTTGGGTAAGCTACCAAGAATACATCGTCTGGTCTGATATGCATTTTGATTATATTTGGTATATTAATTCGATGGTCTGCAATATGTCCCTTCTCTATTGCCTTTTTTGACAGATAGTATCCATCATATTCAATGACACTCACGCTGTTGCCATTATTGTCACTGAGAACAGTGACTTCTTCATCCTTGAAATTAACTAAATTAGAAAAATTGAAAGAAAAAAATGCTTATAAATATCTACAAACAGTTGAAAATGACGCAAAACAAAAATCAATTTGGAAAGTTCCCATTTAAATTTTATATTACAGGCGTACAAATATTTGTATAACAGACAACAAAAAACACAACTTCAAATAAACAAAAAACAATGACTATAGATCTAAGTTACTAAAAGCAAGCTTTAATGTGATTCATTATGTGACAAAAAAATTAAGCCGTCGATCACTCTTATACCGACCGCTGTACTTTCAATTATATTGCATACATTGTCGTCATTGATAGAACGATTTGAAGCAGTGGTTTAACAATTTTTGAGGTAAATTTTGCCAACGGAATTTCATTACAGAGACGAGTGAATACGCTGAGATGACTCACCTGCTTTATACAAGGTCTGTAAACCGTGAAATTTTGATCAAAACCGTAATTTGGCACTTTAATCAAAAAGCTCTTATCCTAATAAACGTGTGTACTAAGTATCAAGTTGATGTAAACACAACTTCATTGTGAACTACCTTAACCAAATAACTTGAACCTGATACGAGACGGACGAACGGACAGACATAACACCGAACGGACGCACTCAGACCAGAAAACATATAAGCCCCTACTTCCATACGCGGTGTTGGATTTAGTGAGAGTCATGGTCAGGTTTATAAATTTCAGAATATTTTGAAGAGAAAAGAGTGTGTATTCATATCCCTTTTGATGTGTGATCCAGGCATGGGTTTTTAAATGTTTTTACGATAGCCACCATGGCCACAAGACTGTTGGGTTGCTCGGAGGCTAATTTCATAAAGGAAGTTCGTATTTTCTCGAACTGAGAGTGTGTATGTATGTTTGTTTGATGGTGCTTAACGCCATTTTCAGCTACCTTGGTTATATAATTGCGACCACTTTTTATTGTTGGAGGATGCAGCAGTACTCGGTGAGAATCAATTTGAAAGAATTGGTCCTGCATTGTTTCATTTAAAAGGATGTCTAATGTAGATACAATTATTTTGTTTAACATGTTTAAGAGAGCCATCGTACTTTGTAAAAAAAACTCTGATCCAACAAAAATATTCTCTGAAAATGACATTATCAAGATGCTTGATTGTTTTATTGACAACATATTTGCTACGTTCGGAGGAGGACGTGTTTTTCAACAAACAATCGGCATTTCCATAGGAATCAACTGTGCTCCTCTTTCTGCCGCATTGTTACTTTATTTATATGAGGCATACTTCATACAGGATCTTCTGATGAAGAATGAAAAGAAGCTAGGATTATCCTTTAATTCACGTTCCACTTTAAAGATAATGTCCTCTCACTGAATGATTCAAAATCTACAAATATATCCCATCGAACTTGAAATAAAGGATACAACTAGGTTTGTACTTATATTAGCAACACGATGGGTGCCACATGTGTAGCAGGATCTGTTTACCCTTCCGTAGAACCTGATATCACCCCCTGATTTTGATGGGGTTTGTGTTGCTCAGTCTTTACTTTTCTGTGTTGTGTTTTGTAGACTGTTGTTTGTTTTTTAGTCGTTTTTCGTTTTTTTGTCATGGCATTGTCAGTTCGTTTTGGACCTAGAGTTTGACTATCCCTTTGGTATCTTTCGCCTCTGTTTGATAGAAGAATATAAAATAACGGTTTTGAGGTAAATCTATTCAGTTTTCTATGAAATGTACATTTATAATTATATTAAATACAGGCGGACGAAAATGGTTTGAATAAGTATACTCATTCCTCCGGTGATAGCTGCAGTCAACGAGTTTCATTTTCTTGAAATATTAATAAGCCTGGAACCATATCAAAATTGTATTTACTTCGCTTTGGCAATCATTGCTTTTCTTCAAAAATCTTACATATTTGTACATATACAAAAAACTAATCGTACTGTACATTTTCAAACTTACCATGTGGGAATTCAGATTCATCCATCGTCTGAAAAACAAGACAAACATTATTGATTTAATTTAGTGAATCTTCAAATTTATCCAATAAAATCATCACATATTGCAGTGCATTATGTCCAAATTACTCCGTCAAAAATCGTTTCGACTCGATAGTTTCCAAATTACAGTACGGTGACGAACAAGCAAAAAGTAAGATATATGTTTACCTATTTGTTATTTGCATGCAACTGAATAATATAAATATATAATAAATTTCCATTGTCGAAAAAACATATCTGTACGAGCTTAAGAAACAGACATCCGCAAAATAAGAAATTTGATTAAAGCGACAACCAATCGAGTTGCAATGAATTTTCAAGCAAATGCAGAGGGGAAATTTGCGGTGTCCTTAAAGTAATAATTATATTAATGTTGTCACCATCAGTGGTTTATTCAGGTTTCTCCAACTATTAAAACAATCCATTCACGTTTATCCAACTTGTGTCGAACAAAATGTGAGTTTTGCTTATACAACCATCAAAATTGTTTTATTGACATTGTACAATGAGAGCTGTATAATATAATTTTCATAATCTATTATATTACTAGTAATAACTTATTTATATGTGTTGTAAACTTTTACGAAGTGTTGTATAAGAAAGATATATTTCAACAAGAGTGCACACGCTGAAATGTATCGCCTGTTTTACTGACCATTGATTTTATGTTGAAAGTCTTAAAGAGAAAGGTTTTACTATTGAAAGCATTACAGGAACTTATCATTTTTTAAAATCTATGACAATAAGGTCAAGGTCAGATAAACTGTGTCAGACAGACATATACACCTTACAATTTTTATACACAAAATATTGTTGACCTATTGTGTATGCTTATTGAAAAACAGACCAAAACACAAAACCTTAACATTGAAATGAATCATAAATATGAGGTCAAGGTCAGAGGATACCTGCCAGACAGACATGTGCACCTTACAATTATTCCATATAACAAATATAGCTGACCTATTGCTATTAGTATTTGAAAAACAGACCAAAACACATAAATATAAACTTTGACCATTGAACCATTAAAATGAGGTCATGGTCAGATGATACCTTCCAGACAGACATATACACCTTACAATCATTCCATACACATACTAAAGTTGACCTATTGCTATTAGTATTTGAAAAACAGACCAAAACACAATAAATTGCTTCGTCGAGCGCAGCTGGATACGACCGCAGAGGTCCAACCCTGAACAGTTGGGGCAAAAATGGACACAATATTCGCGCTTGATACAGGTCTGAACTTGGATTGTAATTAAATATTTGACACATAAAAGGTTTCTGACACAGAATAACTGTAGTAAAAAAACTTAGAATTGGTTATATGATTTGAATTTATATTCAATTTTTTGCTTTTGTGCAATACACATTGTTGTTGCGAATTGACCCCCCCCCCCCCTTTCCCTCCAAAAAAAAATTACCCCCCCTTTTTTTTTTTGCTTTTGTGCAACACACTATGCTGTTGCGTATTAACCCCCCCCCCCACACACACTTTTTTTTTGCAAAAAAAAAAATATTTGAAGAATTTTTCTTTTTAATTTCTGAAATCTGAAATGAGAAAAAAATTGACCTCCAACAATTTCTTTCCCCCCCCCCCCCTTTCCCCCCAAACAAAAATTCTTACCTCAAGATATGGTCAAAATCTCAATTCAAATTTCCAATGGAGTTTGCATATATAGTTGACCTATTGCTTATAGTGCTTGAAAAACAGACAAAAGCACAAACACTCAACATTGACCAATGAACCATGAAAATGAGATCAAGTTCAGATGATACCTGCCAGACAGACATGTACACCTTACAATATTTCCATACACTAAATATAAAAGACCTATTGCTTATAGTACTTGAAAACATACCAAAACACAAAAACTGAACATTGACCAAAGAACCATGCATGAAAATGAGGTCAAGGTCGGAGTAAACCTGCCAGACTGATATGTACCCATTACAATCATTCCATACACTAAATACAATTGACGTACTGCTTATAGTATTTGAAAAACATACCAAAACACAAAAACTTAACATTGACCAATGAACCATGAAAATGAGGTCAAGGTCGGATGAAACCTGCCAGACTGATATGTACCCATTACAATCATTCCATTCACTAAATATAATTGACGTACTGCTTATAGTATTTGAGAAACGGACCTAATCACGTAACTTTAACCTTGATCACTGATCCATTAAATGAGGTCGAGGTCAGGTGCACTCTGTCTGAGAGACATGTAAACGTTGCAAGGAACCCATATACCAAATATAGTTATCCTATTACTCATAATAAGTGAGAAATTAACATGACAAAAACCCTCATTTTTTTTTCAAGCAGTCGCTTTAAAACCTTTAAAATAATGTAAACTCGATTGGTGCCTAGGATACTGAAAACTGATCAGCTTGACTACTCTCATCCGACAAAAAAAATATATTGGGTATACAATTAATTTGGGGAGAGTGCCTTGCAAACTGCCCGTTCAGAACTCTTTGTGACCTATTGGTATTGGACAAAATGAAACGAAGAAACGATTCTTCCTAAGACTTTCCTTTGCTAACAAAGATCCTTCTTCATTAATCATTCCAATCGGAAATACTTTCCTACTTAAAAGATTAGTCTGTTCTTATCAAGTCATATCTCTGCTAGTTCTCCATTTATATATTATCCGGCTGACCACATCATTACTGGTGACTTGACCGTTTTCAATAAAGCTTCTCTGCAGAAATGTGTTAACCAAAGAGCCGAAATACCACTAGCCTTAATCCATAAATTGGAAACACAACTTTATAATACTAATGAATTCACCAAGGAATAATGCCAGGCAATAGGCTAAACATGAAAAAGAAGATGTAGAATAATGAGATACTCCTTTGGAATTGGTTTAGGATGTCATGTCGTTGATACAAATCAGAATTTGAAAACTTTAAAATGGGTCTATAAAAACACATCAGCTTCAAAGACCCGAATGGTGCAAAGTACCTATTCTACCTCTATAACAAACATGTTGTTGTCCCCACAGGTCTAGAAAGTTTCATAAAATTCTATAAACGTTTGACAAAATTTTTAAAGTCTAATAAACTAAAATCCTCGACAGTATCTTAATTCTTACCATGTTTTAACTTTCAAAACAACTTAATCGTGGAAAATACGGAAAAAAGAAAAAAAATCTAAATTTGCTTTGGTTGATCATAAAAACCTTTTGTCCAAGTTTCGTAAAATTTTACGAAGACGACTAAGTAATCGATGTCTAAAAAAAATTAACCTCTGACTGAACCTGAAATTTTGACGTTGACGACGGACCAAATGCCGCAGTATCGACAAAAATCAATAAGTTGGGGAAACGTGAACAAACTCCCTCGGCAGGTGAATTTGTGAGAATTCCCTTATAGAAAGGTAACGTCCGTTATCGATAGGAGGCTGAACGAAATAACCGGCTAGGCTAGTTGATAAAACATATCGTCGTGTGAATCTTATAATGATGTATTTCCCATTTTGTAGTAGTGGTAAAAATCTAAATCATAGATTCAAAGCTCAATATCATAAATATTTGATTGACTGAGACATAAAACGTTATATAGAAATCGAATTTACGTACATGATGATGAAGAGTAACTCTTTGATCGATTGATTTTTTTAATAGACAAGCAACTTGGATATATAAAGCATACCCTTTTTTTGGAGATAAAGCATTTCACTTCAAACAAGTGTGAGATAGAACAGCGTAGTTCCGACAAAAACTCGTAGAGAGTAGAAATCTCGTATTATAGTTGTATAGGGAGATAGACCATTGCACTTGGATGTCAAATATAATGAATGTATAGCTATCTCAATTTTTATCAAAGTGGACATATAACACTATATAAGATTCACACGACGATATATCGGGATAACTATATAATTCATCCATCCATCATGAACCTACTTTTACGTCAGTTGGTCTCTGGTGGAGATTTCTAACCGTGACATCTTATTTTTATATTACTAGGTAAACATAAACAGTAGAGATAAACTAGTCATACAAAGAACACATCAAATAACACGTTTATACCTTGACAGTTCTGGAACGAAAGGACTTGCCTACCATCTCTAGTTGTGACAAATAGAGTATGTTGGGTTTATTTTCCAAAATTGAATTATGATTTTCCCAAAGACTACAGACTGTTCCAGAACAGTTCTCCTGACAGTCCTGGCAGATTTTTTTTAAAAAGGTTCATCGGAAGGAATTGTCAAATATGCCACCGTGTTTATCATGTTTATATGTAACAAAATTTTCTCTGAGGAAAGACATCCTAGTACCTGTGTAAATTCAAATGCATTGCATGTGTCAAAAAATTAAAAGGATTTCCTGGATTGAGTGAGGTTTGATCCAACTGCAAGGCTCAGGCTGGCATATGCGTACATAAAATACATGTAAGAATAGAGGGCATCATATATATACATATATTATTATCATATTATCATATATCAGAAGTCCATTACTAGACGAAGTGTGCAACCCGCTATATAGTAAGGCGATCACGTTGTCCCCGTACTTCCAACTGTGATTGAAACGGGATTTGAGCGAGATTGCTATTAATAGTAACAAAAATCAATGGCCAAAGTTTTTGCGATGCATCCTGGGTAGAGATAATTTATGCAAAACACCCTATAACTTAATTAGCACACAGTTGAAAATAATGTTTGACTATCGACGTGTTAATGAATAGCAGATCCTAGCATATTATATCAGTGTCATGAGTCGTTATGATGGTTTTGATATTAAATGATAAATATGTTTGTATAATTTATCAATTAAAAAACTACAGTTATAACCGTAGAAAAATTGTCAGACGGAATTAAAAAACTCACTTGTTAATTATTGTGAAAAAATTGCCATTAAAAAAAGTTGGCAAGGAAAAATTAGGTCGGAGAATTGAGTATCCATATACAGTACACGTAACACTGGATTAGGAATGAGTTTAATAGGAATAAACATTCTGTTATATTTATTTTAAGAATATATGTTACGAATTACAAATTTCAAGAAATAAGTTTTTTTAAAAGTTACACGGGAATTCTGCAGATATAACCATTTTTAGCAAAATTAACAAATTGTACCCTCAATTTTGAAAAAAGAGGGGAAATTGAATTGTATACCTTTCTTCAATTTCGAATATCTTCGATCCTGCGTAACTGAGATCTTGACGGTAATACTACCTCGGATGATGGTGTGGACGAACAAAGGTTATCTTTTCAGTCAGATCATGGAAGTAATATTTAAAAGGAATAACAACGTCGTCACTTCAAATGTTTTATCTGCGTTACCGCCCATCTTTCGATAACTCGTTAATTGGTTTAATATCTGGCATGGAAGTTGATTCTCCGCATGTGATCGATCAAATCACTGACACTTTTCGGTCATTTTCGTGTTCACGGAAAACTACGAACAGACACGTTTTTGTCGTATATACGTGCGAAGTAACCCGAATAGTCCATTCGTTACATTCCGTTGATGTACGCTGCCGAATAGAGTCATTCGTTCAATTTTTATTTAAGTCCAATTTTCCTATTTCTGGTTAGTTCGATCTAAATAGTACCGACAGCTATCACATATGAAATTGGAGAACAAGGCTGGGTCATTTTCAATTTTAATATTTACAGACAGTTAAAAAGCCATTTCCGTAGGTTAAGAAGATGATTGTACAAAAAATACGTTTGGACCCCCTTTTATTAAATACGAATAATCTAAGTCTTTCGTGTATTAGTCAATTAAAATATTCACAATTCTAAACGGTTCTATCCTTTAATTTATAGTTCTTGATATATAAACTAATTCGTGTAAAGATGAATTTGCCGTAAGACAGATAGCGTCAAGCTCATTTTGTCGGTTTGTTTTAATTTTTGCTGTAGCTTGTTATATTAATACAAGTATTCCACAATAAACACTTTTTAAAAAAATATATGTTTACGACCATATTATCCCTATTTTAGCTGTCCAGTTTCAATAATATACTTCTCGATAAACTTTGCACATTTCAACAGTAAAAAAATCTATGTCTAGATTTGTCTACATTATTTTGATAAACATCATGTAAATTCTAATCGATTCATCGGTATTTAACTGTTTTACTCGGGATCCGCTTTTAACCGAAAAAATACTTTTAGAACAGTTTAAAACAAACGGTAAAAAGCAAAAATATGCTAAATTAAATACAATTTTCCATGCTAAACTGTTGTAGGTTGAACAATTCTCGTCCGTTTTTCAAGTTTTTAACATCATACGACTTCTTTCTGAAGGTAGAGGTTTTATATGATACAGCGCCACCTTCTTATTTATAAACCTCTGATTTCACACAGGTGCTTTATAATTACCGGACTCGATAAAATCACGTGACTGATAAGAAATTCCAGATGCCATTTTACAACCGCGGTATCACAGATAGTAACCAAAGGGGTCTTGCCGCTGAGACTATAATTGGATAAAATCATATGACTTTAGTACAGAGCTCTGCAGGCTGTAACGTCTCCGACATATTTAGAAAACTACCGCAAAGGGGTCGGGATTTCCGGAGGGAAATGTTTCCGTAAGTCTTGCATAACTCCCAAAGGGTATAAATTAATAACGGCAACAAGACGATATATAAGTTGGTTTAGTAGCGAGTCTGCTGCATTTTGTGAAAAAAACCCAGTTTTTTAAATTTTTTTTTATATTTTTTTTTACCGAGGCGGTTGCCTCAACGTAAGCTACGCCAATGCTGTTAATACATGCTAATTAGTTTAAATATTACTTCCATGGTCAGATATTGTTACATTTATCCGTTAAAATACATGTAAAAAATGCCGTTCACAACACGTACGTTCGACGTATAAATACTATAGGTTAAAATTGTAGGACAAGTTGCGATCACGATCTTTGTAAACAAATGAGTAATAAATATATATTCTTTATTTAAGTAAATTCATACAGAAATATGACGAAGTCTTACTTCAAAAACCTATAGCTGTAGTTTAATTTGTTCAAATACTAAATCAATCTCAAGGGTTAAGTTGGGCCGTAAAGAAATAAAGTATTCCCTGGAATTTTCCGGTTCCAACAGTAAAACCCTTTCTTACAAGTGTGGGATGTATACATTAATAGCAGCCGCGTCAGGTCGGATTAGGAACTTTAAATGCAGTACCTCTCGTATTCAGGATGAATGTTACGATCTCTGATATTAAACATAACACTTGCGACAACTCTTTGATGGGAAATGCATGACATATTTGCCACTGAACGTAAAGCTAGCAACACACGATAAATCAAAACGTTAATCCGCATGATCTACAGATGACTTCAGTCTTGTGAGTATAAAAAAAGGACTATTACACGTTGCAACACTGACTCACGTATGTATCTTATGAAGGCGAACGTATTGACGGACAGACAGAAGAAGAGTATGTCTCTTAACTTAAATTAGATAAAAAAAACAAGAGACTTTTGAAATTCGAAATTGTTTCGAAGTCATCTGAAGCAACAAATGGTCGGATATTTTTGACAAATGTATTTCGGTAGAAGCGAAGAAAAAATCCCGTCTTTTGCTTATTCATCACCGTATATAGCTTCCTTAAGTAACCGAGACATAATTCGTCAACACAACGTTCTATTTACAAAAACAGCTATATCTTTTAAATAGACGATACATTTTAGTCCGATACGACAGATTTTATAGTTCTCTTTTGCCTTTGCGCGATGAAAAATGGTACCAATGTATTCGTTTATAAAATTTTATATCATTTTCTAAATGTTGAATAATTAAAATGAAGTTAAATACTTGGCAATAAGAAACCACCGCACTAATTCGGCTCACTTCATTTACAACAAACTGTTTATTAATCAAACACTCAAGGAGACCAATTAACAGCTATCTGTTTGATGATAATATTTGTACCCATGATTCCATAGTTGGGTCATTTTAAAAAAATGTCGAATTTTGAAATCGAAAAATTTATTAAAAGTTACTTATTCAAAAAACCCTCTACATAAGCAAATCAAAACAAACAGTACTTATAGAACAACATATTAAAAGATGCAATCTTAATAATGTCAAACAAGAATATCTTGAAACATTTTTTGATAAGTGGTACAATATTTTGTCTCTCCTGTTACCATTTTCAAAAGAAATTTTGGGTTATCAAGAAAAGGTTTAGATAAAATTTTAAGCTTGTTTTTCGTAGCCAATTAGATGGTTTTCAGGAGAATAAACTTCTATATATATTCATTTTGTGAAATAATAGATTATTTGCCAATTTTCCAGGTTGTACTGAAAAATGCCTCTAAAAATTTGTTTTCAAAGGTTGTAAAAATTACCACCAGTAATGCAAGTCTAAGATAGCAATTCATATTGTTCGGCATTTTTTCTCTCTTTCAAATAAACCCAACATCAAGTAAATCCCTCACATGTTAGTTTACTTTTGTCTTTATTTCATTGGTAACAGGAACGTACGTTAATGATATATCACTATATAAAGTTCTATCCTGTTACCTTTTTGTCTATCCTGTTACCGATATCAGTATTGCACCTGCAAATGCTAAACTGGGAAGATTAAGACGTTATAACCTTAAGATGAGTTCAAACAACGAAAGATTTCATTCTGTTTGCAACTAAATGTTATGATAAACTTTTTAACGACGTTTCTGTCTACAATTGTCTATCCTGTTACTGTAACCATAGCAACCATAGTAACAGGATAGACAAATTTCTTCATTTTCGAATGCTGTTGTGAAATAACTACTCCCTTTGGTGAGGTGATAATGTTTTTCTGTTGTGAATTTGGTTTCCAACACGTTATTGCACTTTTTACAAGTATACTTTTGGTGTAATTAATCAAAATTGTTGGTAACAGCATAGACATGAAAAAAAGTACCCTCTATTTTTTTTCATAAATGTCTTGAAATTTCTTTTCTCTACACTGTCGTTCAAGAAACGTGCTGTGTTAAATGTAAAGGTTACTTTGCACTTTTGAAATCAACACCGACTAATTCAATATTCATAGGGAGAATAATTTAACGGCTGATTTAAGTAGCGGTAACAGGATGGACATGAACTTCATGTACGCGGATTGAATTAAGTTTGTAGATAAAATGTTACATATAATGATAAAGAAGCTACGATTTTTCGTTAGAGTAATTATTAACGTTCTTAAAAAGTCCCTTTTGCAGATATCAAGGCGATCAGAAAATCGGAAAAAAATCATTTGAAATGTGTTTTTCTGAAACTGTACGCACACAAATTACCCAAAAATCGGACTTAAATATATTTTAATCTTATGAAAATAGATGTAAATCGTGTTTATTATTAATGTTCTGAATCATAAATCCTACAAGCTTTCATTTAAACAATAACAACTGAAATTTCCATTAGAAATAAAAAATTTAGCATGGGTGTACTGAAAATTCGACATTTTTTTTAAATGACCCAGTTATAAAACGAGATTTGGGAGGACCACCTAAGGGGCTTTCCACTGATAATGGGGACATCGTGATCGCCTAGCTTACTTTATAGTACAGTTTGCACACTTCGTCTAGTAATGGACTTCTGCATATATAGATATCATTATTAAAAAAATTAAATTAAAAAAAATATACTTGGACAAAATTCCCCAAGAGCCTGTGGAGTATACCATTGCATATAATTGACTTACATTTCGTATAATTATTCGACAACAGGCTGTATTTGAATCAAACTACGAGTTTTAATCACAAGATAAATGTATTCGAAGGTCATTATATAGGACAAAATATTGAGGATAATAGTTTTAAAGCCGATGTGGGAAATCGATGTTATAATATATCCGGAAAATGTAGTTAGAATGCAGTAAATTATAAATCTCAATATCCTAATTTTATTAATCCCTAATACGACTAGTAGAAAATTATAACCGTGCAGGTAATTTCAAGTAACTGTAGTCAATCTTCCTAACAAATTTCCGTTAAAGTAAAAGTAGAGATTATCTACACAGATGCATTGTTTCGTTGTAGGCTACTATACTTATATGTCAATTCTTTAGATTATGCATTAATAAACGAAAGTCGCCTGTCCTCAGTGAAATACTTTAAAACTGATGATTTTACTTACTTGTCAGATCATGTACAAATTCAGTTAACTTTAAATTGTAATATAAAACAAATTTTTGACCTTAAAAGTCATATATTGGAACTGTACACGTATACCTAACAACAAAATTATTTTCATTTACCTGTGTTTAAAGTAATTGCAAATGGCTGATATTTTTGTTCGAGCATATTGTTTTTCTTAAATTGTTTAACATTTTATACCGATATAACATGCTACTTTTATTATTCTTCCCTTAGTTTATTTATTTTGTATTTAGTACATTGTATCATAGGTCAAATTTATTTGTTCAGTGTATGTTCACTGATGTTAATATGTCCTTTGATTGAGTTAAGCTATTTCAGTTGATATTTTATAGTGTGTCTTTCTATGTTGTGATGTTGCACTATAGTTTCAGAAAAAGGATGAAGGTTTGGTACCATTAAAACGTTTAAACCCGCTGCATTTGTTTGCACCTGTCCTAAGTCAGGAATCTGATGTTCAGTAGTTGTCGTTTGTTGATGTGGTTCATAAGTGTTTCTCGTTTCTCGTTTTTTATATAGATTGGACCGTTGGTTTTCCCGTTTGAATGGTTTTACACTAGTAATTTTTGGGGCCCTTTATAGCTTACTGTTCTGTGTGAGCCAAGGCTCCGTGTTGAAGACCGTACTGTGACCTATAATGGTTTACTTTTATAAATTTTGACTTGGATGGAGAGTTGTCTCATTGGCACTCATATACCACATCTTCTTATATCTATATAGAAAAAATGGAAAGATTTGAAAAGGTATAAATGGACTGAAAAATCACGAACATGCTACTCAAAGCTGTTACGTCAGAGCATATAAAAAATTATATATATAATTTTTTAATTAAATGAGTATGAAGAAAATCAGAAGGGGGTTGATGGTGCAACTGAAAATATTTTTGAAAATATCTCTGAGATTACTTGGAAAATATCAAAAAGAGAAAAAAGAAAGAGAAAAAAATATAGACAGGTATGGTCAAACAATTGGGCCTATGAGACAAAGAAAGAAATAAAGTTGGATGGAAATAAACTTAGAAAATGTCCAAATAATCAACTTAAACAGAAATATTTTGAAATGTTAAAAAGTTTTAAAAAAAAGTTGAAATTTAAAAAAGCACTATCATGACAGAGAGAAGATATTTAACTCGTTGACAGATAGTTTTAATAAGAAACCTAAAAATTATTGGGAAATACTTAAAGGATTGAAAAATAAAAAAAATTGTTGGTAATGAAGTACCGGAAATTTTAAAAGACGAAGAAATAATTACGAAGCATATTCAGGACCAAGGAAAAACCCACATTTGTAAATATAAAATGGAAAGAGGAAATAGAAAAACAACTTGTTAATATTGAAAAAGAACATTACATCCAATAGAGAAACAGATGCTCCAATAAAAAAAAACGTTATTAGTAAGCTTAAAAAAGAAAATGCTCATGGCCAGATACCATTATTAATGAAATAGTAAAACTTAATAAAAATGTATCTATCAAAAGCATTGTTAAACTGTTTAACCTAATTTTGAATACAGGTATTTACCCATCAATATGCAAATACTCATATTTAATTTTATAACATAAATCAGGGAAAAAAGTGATCCTAATAATTACAGGGGAATATCCCTGATAAGTTGCTTACCAAAGTTGTTTAATGCTGCATTAAATGAAAGATTGATTAAACTGATGGAAAATACTATCAGTAATACTCAATTTAGCTTTAGAAAAAAATCATAGAACCTCTGATAGTATATTTGTTCTTAAGTCTTTAATAAACAAATACTTACACAAAAATAAAAAATAAATATATGCCTGCTTTGTAGATTTAAAAAAGGCATTTGATTCTGTCTGTAGAAAAGCCTTACTTTATAAACTATAACGACAGGAGCACGGAATATTTAATATTATTAAAGGACAGTATACGGAAACAAAATCTGCTGCACCAAGAGTGGCACTCGGCATATTTTGAGGATTCACAAGGGTTTAAGCAAGGGGATCGAGTCCTACTCTATTTAATTTATTCATAAATGATTTAGATGCAAAGTTTTCAAATGAAAAAAGCTGTCCATTGGAACTGATTGGTACTAAAGTAGTATCTTTACAATTTGCTGATGACCTTTTAATCATGATTATCTGAAAGTAAAGAAGGCCTACAAAATAGTCTGAACAACTTAGAAAAATATTGTGAAAAGTGGCAATTGACTTTAAATATTAATAAAACTAAAGAAATGATTCTGCAGCAATATAATCGAAAAGTGGGCGGCCATCTTTTGCAAACTATAAAAATGAAAATTTGACAAATGTTTCTGAATATTCTATTTCTTGGAATTCTTGTAAAAACAAATGGAAACTTATTGCATAGCTCTGAAGAACCTCTAAATAAAGCAAGGAAAGTGATGTTTGCCATTAAAACTTATACTGGTTCTTTAAATAATCTGCCAGTTAAAGTAGCTTGTAGTCTTTTTGACTCTATAGTTAAACCAATAGCCACTTACAATTTGTTATCCTCTTGTAGCACCATACGTGTGCCTAAGTTGTAAATAAATTGTATTGTATTGTATTGTATTGTAGAAATTACTTATATCGATACATATGTTTCAAAATTTAGAGCAGAAAAACGTGCAATTATCTCCAAAACAAATATAGACCTCCTTAATTTTACTGATAAATCATGTTTAGAAAAATTACAGTTTGTCTTTCTGTAAGTATATCCTCGGAACAAGAAAATCTTCATTAAACATAGCCGTGAGAACAGAGCTAGGGAGATACCCACTAGTGATGCATATACAAACTCGGAGTATACTTTACCTAACAAGATTACTAAATTCTGAAATTAATCCATTATTACATGAATCCTTTTTACTTTCTAAAAGTATGGATGAATCAGGTTGCTATACCTGGTTTACATATGTTAAACATATTTTGAAAGAGGTAAACATAGAATTACCCATTCTTGAGGGAAACAAAGGAAAAAATTACTCAAAGTTGTTAACAAAAACCTTAAAACACCTATTTTTAAATTTCTACAAAAATATATTTGAACAGAAATTTGAACAAATAGATAAAAAGTAGAGCTTTATTTATATAAAAGTTTGAAGCAAAATTTAGAAATGGAAAATTACCTAAAGTGATAGTCTTTTGAAAAGAGAAGTAACATAACAAAAATGAGAATTAGCCACCATAATTTATTGATAGAAAAAGGAAGACATTTAAAAATACCTAGAGAAAAAAGACTATGCCCAACCTGAAATACATTGGAGGATGAAGCTCATTTTATTTTATACTGTAAATAAATTCTAAACTAAGAGAAAGCTTTTAAGGAAATGTAGTTAAACATATGCCAGATTTTATGTCCTGGCAAGAAAATGAGAAAATTTAATATCTTACTTTCCCATCAACCTCAAAAGAAGTAGAAGGCCTAGTGTCCTTTTTTAAACAGGCATTAGAACTGAGGACAGGGGACTCTTGATTTATTTATATACATATATATAGATAGTTTTGCATTTTTACTTATACATGTTTTATGGGATATGTTTTCCTATGGGTTTGTTTTTGTCTTTTTGTGTATGTTTGCATTCATATAATGTTTATATTGTTATCTTTCTGAATGTTAATGTCACAAATTTTTTTAAAATGATTTATATGGCAAAAAAATTAAAAGTTAGTTAAAAAAAGTTGTCATTAACCGTTAGACTATGACAAACTTGACAGTCATGCTAAATAAGATCAAGTCATTCTAAGGACAGAAAAATATTTGTTTCCTCCTTTCAGAAGATACTTGGCTAATTATTCTGTGCCAATTTTGACAAAATATAATTCACGAGAGTTTTTTTAATCACTTAACATTTTTATAGCTAGTAGTACTTTGACAATCTGACGAAAAGTTAGTATGCGTAAACATTGAAATCATTAAAACGCGGGAACCATTCAGACAGAAGCCAATGCTTAAGTACTGATATGGTGTAAATATTTTGTTTGAAAATTTTCTGTATATAAAAGAGAGGCGAAGGATACCAAAAGGATATTCAAACTCAAAAGTCGAATATAAACTGACAACGCCATGGCTAAAAAAGAAAACAGACAAACAACAGTACACAAAGCACAACATAGAAAAACCAAAGACTGAGCAACACGAACCCCACCAAAATCTGGGGGTGATCTCATGTGCTCCGAAAGGGTAAGCAGATCCTGTTCCACATGTGGCACCCGTCATGTTGCTCATGCTAATACAAACCCGGTGACAAGATTAATTCGGTAGGTCACGTTCGAGGTAAAGGGGACGGGATTGTAGTTACGACAATTGGAACATATCCGTTGTCATCTGTGAAACAGATTTTCCGTTACGGTCCACAAACTCGTGATGGCGTCCGTAAAATTTACGAAGGGACGATTTCAACTTCATTACTTGGAACTCTTGGTTTAATAGCTTCCTTGTGAGAGAAATTTGATAGTGTATATAAATAGTGATAGTTCCAACTTCCTCGAGTAAAGTTGACCTTAGTCTAATTGTGCTTTTCTGTTTAGGTCCAATTTTGACACTTTTAAATGTTAAATTCATAATATTTAGTTTTCAAAACTTTTTGGGCTCGATCATTCATGATGAAGATAACAAAAAAAAGGTGCTCATTTAAATCGGTAAAAATCAACAATA